TCCTAGAAAGCATATAGTGACTGGCTCCAAAAAAAAAAAAAAAGTTAATTAACAATGTTCAGGAATTCCACACCAGATGGAAACACTCAGGGAGACCTTGCTATACAACACTTTAAATCTGGGAATATTGTGTTGTTTCTTCTCTCATATAGGTTCATCTTCCTTTAAGCTGTCAGAGCAGAAAATTATGGACCTTGCATTATGTTACACTCCCATGTATGGGGTCTTACATGACTTCTATCCTCCTGTGTGGATACTCCTGGTGGAATTCTATGTTTTTACATAGGATAAGGTTCTGAGCTTTTTTCCTTTCTGACACCTAGCAAGCTCTAACTGCTAGATGGGAGACCTAAATAGATCCATTTCTAGCTCGGTAGCTGAAAAACACACATAAACCCTACGAAGAAGTAAGAAACTTGATACTGTACCTTTACAGGGACGATACATAAGACATGGGTGTGGCCTACTGATGACAGCTAACGAGCTAGAAATGGATCTATTTAGGTTCTCGGCTTCGTGCTTCTAGGAGCAATGTGTGTGATCACAGCTGTTTCTTCCTTTTAACTGCCAGTGGGGGTGTGAACTGATTGGGTGGGAGCTTGGCTGTGTTCTGATTGGGGGAGGTGTGTTCTGATTGGTTGGGGGTTTGGCTGTGCTCTGATTGTTTGGGGGGTTGGCTGTGCTCTGATTGGCTGGGTGTGTGTTCTGTTTAGGTGGGGGCTTGGTTGTGCTCGGGTTAGTCTGAGTAGCAGGGGGATTTGAGCTGGTGAGCTGTGTTGCTGGTGTTTGGCTTCGTGTTCGTGGCCGTGCCATCTCTTCATGTTGGATGTCAGTCTGTTTCATGTATGGATTGGAGGGGTTTAAAGTGGCTAATGATGCAGCTGTGGTCTGGCTTCTGGTCCGTGGTTGTGCTTGATCATCAGTGTGGGTTTGAGTCTGCTTTCTGCGTGGATGTGTGGTGGTTACATCCTGTGTGGCTCTCGTGAGTGTGGGTCTGGTGTCATTCTTTGTGTTAGGGACTCGTTTGTCAATAAGGGTGGGTTTCCAAATGGCTGGCAGGTGGGAGGTATCATCTCGTTTATTCATGCTGTGTGGACGTTTTTCTATCTCGATGGCTTCTCTGATTATTCTGTTGTTAAAGTGTTCAGTTTTGGCAATAGTTCTGGTCTTTTTAAAGTCAATATCATGTCCTGTGGCTTTGAGGTGTTGGACCAGGGAAGAAGTTGGTTCCTCTTTTCTAACTGAGTTCTTGTGTTCTTCAATGCGTGCACTTATTCTTCTGTTGGTTTGTCCGATGTATGTGGTGGGGCAGGCGGTGCAAGGGATTTCATATACTCCTTGATTTTCTAACTCAATTTTGTCTTTGGGGTTTCTTAGGATGGTGGATATTTTTCGGTTTGTGCAGAATGCTGTCTTGATGTTGTGTTTGTGGAGGATCTTGCTGATTCTGTCTGTGGTGCCTTTTATGTATGGGAGGAGGGCTTTGCCGTTTTCTTGTTCTCTGTTTTGGATTTTAGTGGGGGTTTCTTTTTGGATTAGGTTGGTAATCTTATTTCTTTGGAATCCATTGGATGTTAGTACATTAGTGAGAGTGTGTAGTTCGGTTTTTAGGTGTTGTTCGTCAGCTAAGCGTTTTGTTCTGGAGATGACTGTCTTGGCTATGGAGTTGATCTATGCTGGGTGGTGGTGTGAGAGTGCGTGCAGATAGCGGTTTGTGTGTGTTTTCTTCTGGTAGATGGTGTGTCCTAGGGAGCCATTGGATTTTTTGTAGACTAAGACATCCAGGAAGGGAAGTTGGTTGTTCGCTTCTGTTTCCATGGTGAACTGTATTTTGGGGTGTAGGCTGTTGAGGTGTGTGAAGAAGTTGTCCAGTTTTTCTTTCCCATGTGGCCAGATTATGAAGGTGTCGTCTACGTATCTGAGCCAGAGTTTTGGTTTGTGATCAGATTTTTCTACAGATTTTTCTATATATACTGTAGATACAAATAAAACAAACTGAAAATTTATGAAAGAGCTTCCAGCCAATGAATGAATCACTAACAAATAGCAGCATTATTTTTTTTTTATTTTATTTTTTTCTGCCATTTCAGTTTCCAGTAAGAGGCTTTTCCAAACTTCAAAGGTCAATGAAAACCCAGGTACTTTGAAGAGTTGTCCAATTTCACTTTTATAACCATGGCTTCCTTTGTTCTAGCTGCTTAAATAAGGGCTACCATATTCAGGATGCAAATATCTGGACCATCAGTAGATAGGCACAATGGAAGTTTATATGTCTCTTTGTTGCCATCTTGGGGTCTTCTGGATTTTTGCAGACTAGAAATCAAAGATTTACTCATGCAGATTCAGTAAGGAAACCGGAAAAATGTTTTCAGTGTTGTGATTTATGCTGCTTGTGACAATATGGCCAGAATGTACTCCTAGAAATTAGGACATATTGCTGGTGTTGAGGGGTATGCCTGACATTAGTGACATCTCCTTCAAAATTGGGACTATCCTAGAAAAATCAAGATGTAAAATCCCCTGATTCAGACTCATGTCTGTAAGGTTAAGCATAGAATATCTTGAGGCTCTTTAATAATTTATAAATCTGATTCATAGCCTAATATTGATTTCTTCTCTGATTGCTTTCAACCTTAGTTGCCCCTTCCTTCTCATACTTTTGAAAAAAGATAGTGTTACATATTGAAACATGGTATTTTCTTGCGTAGGATAACTTTTCCTTCATTTATTTTCTTGCATTATGTGTTATGAGTACCAGTTTAGTACAGTGATTAAGGCAATAGGCTAGAAACTGGCTGACTGTGAGTTTGTTCCATCTTCGATACAAAGCCAGTTGGTTGACTATTGTGTAATGGGCTTCAGTAGCCAAGAAGCAGACCAGCATAGCTACAACAACATTTATTGACTCAAAACTGGAACTGAGGAACAACAGGGAAATGCCAAGGCAAGAGCCTTGGTGGCGCAGCAGACTAAAGTGCTGTTAAGTAGCACCAGCTGCCTGCAATTACTGCAAGTTCAAATCTCACCAGGCTCAAGGTTGACTCAGCCTTCCATCCTTTCGAGGTACGTAAAATGAGGACCCGGATTGTGGGGGCAATAAGCTGATTTTGTATAAAAAAGAACACTGCTTGGGGGGGGGGGGCGAAAGCCCTACTAAGCAAGTATATACAAAAGTATGAAGGCTATTGCTTAACACATTGTAAGCCGCCCTGAGTCTCCGGAGAAGGGCGGCATATAAATCGAACCAATAAATAAATAAATAAATAAATTTGTACTCTAGGCCCACAGGGCCTTAACCAATCATAGTACTTGAAAAAGCCCGCCCAAATATGAATGTTTTAAGTTTCCCTCCAAAACAGTTGGAATTAACAGTTAGGGTCATTTGAAGGTTAGTTTCACTTTAGCAGGGCTTAACACAACTATATATATTCAGTACATAACACTGATTTTGTCTAATCACTTTCTCTCAGCTCTAGGAAGGAGGCAAGGGCAAACCACTGAAAAACCTTACGAAGAAAATTGCAGACACTTGCCTAGGCAAGTTCCAAGAATTGGAAATGAGTGAATGATTGGGGAAAAAAAATCTTTTTCCTTTATAATTTTTAACTAAAATAAAAGTCCTATGGTTTTATGACTTTTCCCATATATCAAAGAAATTCTCCTCACCCTTTCATGTTTTTTAATTAATAATTTTTATTGAAGTTTAAAATGGTATGGATAAAAAACTAATGCAAAGTATGAAAAATATAAAAAAGAAAAAAGTGCAGAGAAAAAAAGGGGAAAGGAAGAAAAGGTATGTAAAAGGAAAAAAAAATGTCCTTTCCACTTTTTCATGGAAAAATGCAATATTATTTGCAAAAGAACTTTGTTGTTGCTACTGTACATACACCTGCAGATGTATTTCATTCTCCAATTCTCTCTTGTCTGTTCTTCTATTTTGACTATTCTTGATATAATTGGCTTTCAGCACTTAATTACAAAGGCAGGTTTATCTTTTAAAGTCATCTTGATATAACAGTTGTATCAAATTGGCTTAAGTTTTTCCATTCATCTTTTCCATTCTTTTGTGTCTTGCGCATGAAAGGATACATGCTCCCATTTTTAACTAGTTTTTCATCCTGGAACACTACTTATATACGCCATGTGGAAATTGTAGAATAATAAACCTGCATCAGTTAACCATTTTTCTTTTTTCTTTAAAATTAAATTTGCTGCTGTTGTTTTCCTAAGGACAAACACTGTACTGTACTGTACATAGATCAAGCAAGGTTCTTAATATCTTGACTTGAAGACAGGAAATGAAAACATAGTTTATTGAATGTTTTAAGAGATTTAATTTGTTAAAATACAAAAACCGGGTAAGGATTATATATTAAGATGGATGTACAACAAAAGGGACATTCCCATAGCACACTACATGTATCTGTATTAGGATTGTGAAAACCACTTCCTTTTGAATCATTTTTAGTGTGAAATTCCACAGAACATCTAGATTACCATGTGCAAAGCTTGGAAATGTGCTACTTTGAACGTTTCAGAGTGTCCCAAGCTTTGAAGTGGCATTTGGTATTTTAAACAGCTTCTTAAGCTCAAAACAGCTCACCTCACAGCCAAAATGGCAAGTTCAAAATATTTTAGGATATTTTGCATTCAGAATATTTCAGAATCAAACATTTTGAACCCTAACATGAATATGTTTTAAATAATCTCATTATACTACTGGGTGTATTCATTGCTTTTTTTTATTTTCTCTACCTACACTGGGTCCTAATTAACATGTAGCAGGAGGGAAATCTATAGTAAAATTGCCATTACCAAGAAGATCTTAGCTTAGGTAAATACTCGGTAGTAAGGTTTGTTTTGTTCAACAGATCTCAAGGTCTGGGATGATTTTTCCATGAAAAAGATATTCCAACAAAACTAGCCATCCTGCCAGTTAAACAGAACAGAACAGAACAGAACAGAACACAGCAGAGCAGAGCAGAGCAGAGCAGAGCAGAGCAGAGCAGAACAATAAAAGTGGAAGGGGCCTTAGAGGTCTTCTATTCCAATCTCCTGCTGAAGCCCATCCCCATTCCATACAAGTGGCTGACCAATCTCTTCTTTAAAACCTCCAGTGATGGAACATCCACAACTTCTGAAGACAAGCAGTTTCTTTGGTTAATTGTTCTCGTCCAGAAAGTTGAATTTTGCCCCTCCTTCTTTCTAGCAATTTCATCCATGTTCCTGCTTCTTACTTCCTCTCTTGCCTTCTCAGCAGTTGACAAAGCTAGTGAAGAAAAGAAGCAAGCAGTATAACTGACAAGGTCATTTATCAAATGGAGTTTTAGCTGCCTCATTTCTGCTGTCCTAGGATTTTTCTTTTTTCCCCCAGTTTACATGTGGCCTCTGGGTTGTGAGATGTCAAATCTTCTTCAAAACATAAATGCTGGGACTGGTTTAAGCTATCTATATTTCATTCCATTTTTAAAGAATCTTCTGATGAACCGATATTTAGGAATATTGGACTGTATAGTTTTATACTGATATAAAGGTTTCCCAAGTGTTTAGTGGGAAAATGGTGGCAGTCTGATTTATTTAAAAAAAAGTTGTGTTGAGCCAGATGCAATAAAATTAAAGCTCAAAAACTAAGCTGTTTTCCACTTTAAAAAATCATCTCCAATATGAAAGCCAAGCTAATGAATAAGGCATTAAACCTGCATAAAACCCAAATCCAAAAGTAAAAATTATGACCCAAAAAAATATTTGGAAGATAACCCAAAGGAGATTATATTATTTTTGACATTTTCATAAGGTTTCCTATAGTTTCTGCAGAGGAATCCAGAGGTTCATTGATTGTCGCAAAAGTTGGATATCAAACTTACTTGAGAGACAAATGCATAGCCTTGAATACATTATTTTTCAGATGTCTATTAGGGATTGTCTTGTTAAAAATTGTTTAACAATAACAGCATAGTTATATTATTCTGTACACAGATTAAAATGCTTCTAGACTTAACTTGCTTAGGTTTTCTAATTTATTTATTTATTTGTTTGTTTGTTTGCTTGTCAACAAGTACAAGGAAACAAGAAACAGTTGACATAGACATGGACACATGAAAAAAAATTGGCACAAATAAAAGGATATAAATAAGCAAAACATAGCCATAAACACATAAAATGAGTACATATAAATGGGAACAGTAGGACAGGGACGGTAGGCACGCTGGTGCGCTTATGCATGCCCCCTTAGGGACCTCTTAAGAAACGTGAAAGGTCCACAGTAGACAGTTTAAGGTAAAAGGTATGGGGGTTAGAGAGACTAACAACAGGATCAGGTAGAGTGTTCCAGACATTTACTACTTTATTGCAGAAGTCATATTTCCTACAATCAAGATTAGAGTGAATTACATTGAGTTTGAATCTATTGATAGCCCTTCTTCAGGAAATTTTCTCATCTCATCCTACTGAGTAACATTTTGGGGATAAGCACATTGTTTTGTCAGTTGCTTGCATGAAATCTAAATATTACAATGAATTGCTTTCTCGAGATTTAAGACATTAATCTAGTATTTCAGCAATGTCTCACATTGCCACTCCTCTTTTGTGAATGAATGAGTGAGTTTCTTCTTCAAGCAGAGATACAGTTATTTATTGGCTCATTGTAACAAGTTCATATTTTTTTTCTAATCAGTTTCTCTTAGATGCATCTGAGAGTTTCTGATGATTCCAACAATTTTTTTAATTCATTAATTTCTGTTCATTCATTCATTCATTCATGTTATATGCCTCCCATATACAGTATATATATGTATAGTTACAATTTGGTAACTATAGCTATACACTTTACATTATCTATCTATCTATCTATCTATCTATCTATCTATCTATCTATCTATCATCTATCTATCTTTCTATCTATTCTTCATCTACCTACCTACCTACCTACCTACCTACCTACCTACCTACCTATTATCTATATATGCAGTTTATATAGCATTGTATTATTTAAAACAATCAATTTATTAAATATAAAATTTGAGAAATTGCTCTTATGATATGCATTAAGAGAAGGGACACATGTTTAAACTGATCCCTGGCTAGTTTATATTTATTTATTTTGGCAAAGAGTGGATAGGGAATAATTTTGAAATCACATTCATTTCAGTGGAAAAAAGCATATTGTCCTTTATTTGCGCTAAAACTGAGAGATGATTTTCTCACCGTATGTAAGAATACTATAATATCCTGTATAACTTCAGAAAATGATAGTACTTCGTTCGGGTATGATTGTAGAAAATGAATGGGAAATTTGTTTAACACATATTGGTTTGTTTGAACCTACCATTTCAGTTTCTCTTTGCAGTTGTCAATATATGTCTACTTAATTACTTCTTACTCTTGGAACGAAAAAGCTCAAGTTCATTATAGTCATATAACAGCACAGACTTCATTAACTAGAAGAATAAGAGAGCCCTCTGCTGTTCAAAATAATGCTTCTGATTAAATTTTAGAGTACAAATTATATTGTTTTCAATATAGTTCATACGTAGCTACTCTAAAGAATCTTCCATTAAAACTGATTGGGATTACTTCCACGTAAACAGGCCTAAAATGTCAGATTGAGTTAATAATTTTAACATTATATTTTTAGTGACTTAATCTCTTATCTTAATAATGTAATTAAAGTGCATGTACTTTAATCAAACTGCAATCCAACAGGATTAAGAATTTCAATAATTAGCTACCTTCTAGAAAAACAATGTTTATTACTAAATTTGTATACAGCCATTTCAGCAAATTGACTCATAAGGTTGTTATTTTTTTTAACTCTGTTTTTAGGCATTGATCAGTATTAGTATTTTTTTTTTTAAAAAAAACCTTTCTTCCGTTTGCCTTTGCTGTAATTGGGAAAATTCCACTGAGACTGTATTACTCGATCTTTCCTTACAGAGTTTTTCTATAAATACTTTTTCTTTTTAGAAAATGTAGTTTCCCTGCTGCAGGTGTTGTGACAGTCAAGCAATTCTCTGCACCTCAATTAACTAACACAAGGACCTTTTATCTTCAGAGGTTGGGCCTTTTCCTGCAGGAATTCAATTTTTCATGTCTTCTTCAAAAACCAACAAAGCAGACCTCCTCTATGCTGCCAAAGTTCATCACCATGTCTGTTATTAAGACCAAGAGTTTCGAACAGTACCGAAGAAGATCTTTCTGTCTTTTTGTCTCTTACTCACATACATGTACAAAATTTGCCTACTTGCATCTAATCAGACCGATATTTGTGTTCCTCTACTGCTGTAGTATAGCTTGCCTTGAGTCAAGTGGAACACAGCAGTATAGGAATAGCAATAGCACTTCACAGTGCTTTTACAACCCTCTCTAAGTGGTTAACAGAGTCGGCATATTGTCCCCAACAATCTGGGTCCCCATTTTACCGACCTTGGAAGGATGGAAGGCTGAATCAACCTTGAGCCAGTCAGAATCAAACTGCTGGCAGTCGACAGAGTTAGCTTGCAATACTGCATTCTAACCACTGCGCTATCACCACCATATATCCAAATATATGAATGAGTGAATGAATGAACCCATAAATTAGACAGAATTATGTAATCCTTAGCAGTGGAACTGCTAGAGTGTTCTTTTTCTACTCAAGATGTTATATAAATGTTTTAATCATTGATATATTGATATATAATTTATTCAATAAATAGTCAATGACAGTTTGAAACAAACTTCAGAAGTATGATAGGCAGCTGCAATGTATGTTCTGTCACCCATCACATTTGAGGTAACTAGCAATAGGTGGTCTAAGAAGAGTTTTTATTGGCTTTCCAGATCTTGGTCAGCCATATCTGCTGCCATTCTGGGTCCCCCACCACTCCCAAAAGAGCAAGATCAGCATCTCTGCTGGAAAATTATCAGAAATATGTAGTAACACCAGAGAATGCCACCAGGAACATGTAAATTGTATCACTGTTTCTAATTCACTTTAATGTAAGCAGAGATGGGCTTCAAAAATTTTAGCAAGGGGTTCTCTGCCCAGTTTCTGGGTGGGTGTGGCTATGGTGGGCATGGCCTAGTCAGCCTTCTGCACCATGGGGAGGAGCTTTTTGTTCTCCCCAGGCTCCGGAGCTTTGGTTAAGCCTCTGGAAGGGCAAAAACAGCCCCCAGGCTCTGGAGGTCCTTCCTGAACTTCCAGTAGGCCCTTTTTTCACCCTCCCCAAGCCTCCGGGCACGCCCTGCACTTACCTGCATCCAAAACGGGCCACGTGGAGAATCCTGGGAGGGGCGGGGTGGGGTGGGCAGGGCCTGCCAGGAGTGGGATTTGGGGGTTCTCCGAACTGCACAGAATCTTAGCTAAAGATTCTCCCAAACTCCCAGCAGCCCATTCCTGAATGTATTTTACTCCGAAAACATTTTAGGTCAATGTAAGGCTGTAAAATGACAGGACTAACTCCCTTTCTCACCATCTTCTGAACAGAGCACAAAGAAAGCCAAAAGACTATTGTCTTGCCTAATTAAAAAGAAAGAAACCTTAAGCAAAGGTACCATTTGTTATTCAAATCCCTTCGTGACTTAGATCTGATTTCGATTTAAGTTTATTCAATTTGGATTACGATAGATTAAGGATTGGCAGGAAGAGTCTAGTTAATAGTGTGATGAGTGAATTAGGTTACTACGGTCTGTTGAAAAAAAATACCTGTCATCACACTTATTTGTAGTAAAGTTTTTATTTTGGTTGAAGTTCTCCATGTGTTATGGGGCGGGCGGGGATGAAAAAGCTGGCTAAATCGTGATTCAATTAAGCACACTGAAAAGTATTAGGCCAAATTTAGCAGGTCTACATTTGCAAACTGCATTGCCTGGGTTCGCATTATGTGCTAAGCCAAATTGAAACAAACTGTGTTATAGCTTGTCACTATATTATGGGAACAAATTAAATCAACTTTGTATGTTTAGTTTCCTAAGTAAAAAACTGTGAGTTGTCTACAATTAGCCCTTGCAAGGGAACCCTTTTTCTGTTGCTCTAAATTCAGGGAGGGGGAAAAACTCAGGCATAGCAAAACAACACTATTCCGACGATGTTCCAAAAAGCACTCCTCTATACTTATATGATAATTTTAACTTCTTTTGCAGAAACCTCAAGCAAAAAAATATAAAGATCTGCAGAACTTGGGGTGAGGGGAGGAGAATGAATATGTCAATCAGACATGGCTGTATGTCGAAATGCAAAGTCCCGGTAGGCCAAGCGTTCTCTTGGCTGGAGATAAAAATTTTATGACCAAG